ATAGGGTTTGGAACGCGAAGAGCACCGCACTTACGGCGGTGTCCGGATCTTCCCCTCGGACCTTGAAAATCCGGGCGAGGGCCACGGGGAACACCGCGCCGGCTCGTACCCATATCCGCAGCAGGTCTCCAAGGTGAATAGCCTCTAGTCGATAGAATAATGTAGGTAAGGGAAGTCGGCAAACCCGATCTGTAACTTCGGGATAAGGATTGGCTCTGAGGATCGTGGCGCGCCGGGCTTGGTCGGGAAGTGGAGCGGTGCCAACGTGCCGGGCCTGGGCGAGGTGAAAGGCGTTTACGCGCCCGGACCCTAGCTCGGTCCCGTGCCTTGGCCACCCACGGATCTTCCTTGCTGCGAGCCTCCGGCTGTCTAGTTGCCGCGCTCACGCGCGGCGGACGGGCCGGCAGGCTCTTCGGCCGCCATAGAACGATCAACTTAGAACTGGCACGGACCAGGGGAATCCGACTGTCTAATTAAAACAAAGCATTGCGATGGCCCCAAGGGGTGATGACGCAATGTGATTTCTGCCCAGTGACCCTGTGATACCCAAGCGCCTACCATTACGTCCCCGTCGGGAGAGCCGGGCAACGCACATAGTGCGGCTAACAATGGAGGCTATATCTGGGCACCCAAGATCAGTAGAGGGTGCCCAAACGAAGACTATGGACTGTTTATTATCATGACCTGGCGTGGACTGGTTACACGAATGCACTGTGTACTGCAGCAACATACACAGAACGATTGGTACTGAAAAAATGAGCTTGCGATACGGCATGGATGGGGATGGAAGGCTGCGGCTTCTATTCTACATGTGTCCGTGGAGCACCCCGCCTGGCAAGCACACGTATTGGTGCCTATGTGTCGGAGACATAGGAGGTTCGAGGCGAAAGTAGTAGAACCCAGGAACGCTATAAAAGCGGGTTGAGCATTTCCCCGTGAAGAGAGCGTATATACCGGTTCTTGGACGGAACTCCGAGACTCTCACAGTTGGTAGCTGTGGGATGGGGGTATACCCCGGCGGTTAGCCATGCGTGCAGTGGGATTAAAACCAATGCAAAATTCAATCACTAACAAAAACCAAAACATAGAAGTAGAGGAGACAAGGAAGGGAGGCAAGAGTAGTGAGAAGGCGGGCTCTAAAAAAGCCGAAGTAGAGAAAGAAGACATCTCAACCACCGAGCAAATCAGAAACGATTTACTCAGTTGGTTTGCAGATGTTAAAGTAGTGGAGAGTGAAATAGGTAAGTTCACCTCAAAGGAAAAGAAGAACGTATCGGAGAAGGCTGGTCTCCAGATACAGAATTACTTCACAAGGATTTGTGAAGTAACAACTAGCGTGCTAAATAAGGTTCTAGAAAAACTAGAACCAAAACAAGAGAGCGACCAGCAGAATGTAGCAGAAAGGCTACAGGAGACGCAGGAGACGTTCAAAGCCTACCAGACTAAGATGGACCAGGCGATGAATGGCATCCTCGCAAAGATCGATGCTTTAACCGAGCAGAGAGTAGCTCCAAGAGCGGAGTACGCGCAGGTCCTCAAGGATTCTGCTCACAATGCTCCGAGAACCAGGAATGTCGCACTTATAACGGTGGCGGACCCCAAAGCTGAGAGCACCGAGATTAAAAAGCGGTTAGCCAACTCCGTTAACATCAAGGAGGAGAAATGGCAGATCGTTAATATCCGCAAGACGAGGAGCAACAAAAAAGTGCTCATTGAAACAACTGACAAGGCTAATCTTGAAAAGATAGTCCAGTCAGAGACCCTTAAAAAGAAAGGGTTCAAAGTTGAAGTAACCCGGCTAAGGAAGCCCAGGATGATCATCTATGACATCGGGCACGAGGGGAAGACCACAATCAAAGGCATTAAGCGAGGATGCCAAACGAAGAGAGGCAAACTTCAACGAAGAAGTTTATGGGTGCATAAGGGCCCAAAACCTTGATCATCTGAGTGAGGGTGATCTAAAAGCAAGAATGAAGCTTTTATTCAAGTTGGGAGGAGCCCTAAAGGATAGAGAGCACTGGGTCGTAGAAGTCGACCCAGAGCTAAGGCTAGACCTAATAAAGAGAGGGAGGCTCTTTATCGACCTAAAAAGCTGCAAGGTCAAGGAGTACATAGGCCTAGTACGTTGTTACAAATGCCTAGCATTTGGACATACTATGTCTAAGTGCACCAAGACCGCCAACACATGCAGCCACTGCAGCGAGGAGGGTCATGAGGCGAAGGCATGCAAGGCAAAGGAACAGAATAAGCCTCCTAGATGCGCGAACTGTAGGGTGTACAGGAAGGATGACAACCAAGGCCATTACACAAGGGATCAAGATATGGCAGGTTAACTGTGATAGGTCGAGAACAGTCACCGATGAGATCATGAGAGAAGCTGCTGGAAATAGAGTGGACTTTATTCTACTACAAGAGCCATACTCTAGGAATTCCAGAATCCATGGTTTCGGCAGATGGACCATTATCCAGGCCAACAGCGAAGGCCAGGAACCATGGGCCGCAATAGTAAGTTGTTCGAAGGAGTACACGATGTTAAAGCACGCTCAACTGTCAGACCAGTACACTGTAGTTGTCGAAGTCAGCAAAGGCAATACGAGAATATACATGGTAACCATGTATATGAGGTTTAACTTGCCGATCAACAGCTTCGTAGACCGAATGCAGCATATATGTGACTCACTGCGTGGAGAACGTATACTGTTTGCTGCAGACGCAAACGCCAAGTCCCCCTACTGGAGTACAATTCCACAGGCAGACGAGAGAGGGATGGAGGTGGAGAGCGTGATTGACAGGAACAACCTCAGTGTGCTGAATGATAGAGCAGCTGCAACATTCTGTACAGCTAAGACAGCCACCTCTATTGACGTAACATTAGTGAGCAACCAGCTGAAAGGCCAGGTTAAAGGATGGACAACCCGGAAAGACGTATGCTCCAGTCAGCACGTCTTAATTGAAGTTGAATTAAGGAGCGAAACGACACAAGGAGTAATGAGAGAAACTCCGAGATTCAACATCAAGAAAGCGGACTGGGACACGTACAGAAACAGCCTACAGAGGGAAATAAGCAGACTTCCGGGGGAAGTCAGAAACCCCACAGAGTTGGTAAAAAAAGTACAGTCTCTTCAAAACGCAATATTGAAGGCTGCCTCAGAGGCAATGCCCATAAGCAAGTACACACGCACCAAGAAGGTTCCCTGGTGGAACGACGAGTTAACCAAACTCAAGAGGGACGTGTATAAACTGAGAAGAACTGTGCAAAGGACCAACGATGCAGGGGCTAAAGTGCTCCTGAAACGTCAATACGAGGTGAAGAGAAGGCTCTACACGAACCACATTAAACAATGTAAAAAAGAGCAGTGGCGTAAATTCGTCACTGACCTGAACGAACAAGGCCCATGGAATCTAGCTTATAAGATCTCATTCGATAAGATACCGGTGGCTGAGGTTCTCTCGTCAATTAAACAGGGTGATGGTTACACACAAACCTGGGAGGAATCCGCGGTAAGCATCATGGAAAGCCTCGTACCAGAAGACCCTCCAGACAACCAGATACAGGCCGAAATACGAGAGGAGGTGAGGAGGTTTGTCCCAACTGAAGGGAATGAGGCAAGCTTCGAAGAAGGAGAGGTGGAAGCAGCAGTGAAGGCCTGCAAGAAAGGGAAGGCACCAGGGGTGGACGGCATAGCAGCCGAAATGGTTCAGGAGGGCTTTTGCGTATTAAAGCATGCCCTGAGGAGCATTTTTAACGCTTGCCTCCACCTCGGAGCATTCCCAGACATGTGGAAGGTGGGGAAACTAGTCTGTATCCTCAAGGCAAAGGACAAAGACCCCACTGACCCGAGATCGTACAGGCCGATATGTCTACTCCCAATAATGGGTAAGATCCTGGAGAGACTGATAGCCAATCGATTACCATACCTACTAGATGAAGGACTCTCAGAACGACAGTACGGATTCAGGAAAGGGAGATCGACAGTCGATGCAATTCGTGAAGTCATGAAAGCAGCTGAGGAGCAAGAAGAGCACTACTGCCTAGCAATATTTATAGACATCCAGGGAGCATTCGACCACCTGTGGTGGCCAATGCTGTACAAGGAACTGAGAAGGCGTAGATGCCCCTCCAACGTTTACCAGCTGCTCAAAAGTTATAGCACCAAAAGACACATCAGGATGTATAGCACAACCAGGTTTGTAGGGAAGGCAGTAACGAGAGGGTGTCCACAGGGATCAGTACTGGGCCCCAAGATGTGGAACCTAATCATGGACACCAACCTACAAGCTATGGACATTGAAGGGTGTAGCACGATTGCATTTGCTGACGATCAAGTCCTAATTCTGCGAGGAAATTCAAGGAGAGAACTAGAGGTAATAGGTAACAGAGCTATGCAGAAAGTTCAGGAATGGGCAGAGTTGAACAAGTTGACGGTATCGCAAACCAAGACCAAAATGATGATGTTGAAGAACAGCTTCGATGTAGAGAGACCACCGAGAATACAGCTCAAGGGGAACCAAATACAGATGGTCAAGGAGTTCAAATACCTTGGGGTGACGTTCACGGAGGGTCTCAGAATACAACGCCACATCGAGGACATCATCAAAAAAGCGAGGAACGTCTTCGAAAAGGCCCTGAGAATCGCGGGAAGTGGATGGGGGCTTAGGCCCCGGAATCTGAGAACGCTCTACAAGGGGGTATTCGAGAGCATCGTAACGTATGCAGCCCCAGTCCTAGATGCCAAGCTAAGCAACCGGATGAGAGAGCTAATCAACAGAGTGCAGAGGCAAGCACTGTTGAGAGTAGTGAAGGCGTACAGAACGGTCTCAAGAGACGCATTACCGGTAATTGCAGGAGTTCTGCCGGCTGATCTACTCATCAAAAGAGCAGCACTCAATTACAATTTGAGGCACAGAATTCCGTTCCAGGTAGGAGAATTCGTCTACGACGAAGACTACTACGGAGCGGAAGACTATGACTCGAAGAATGAGGAGCTCAAAATCACCGGCTGCTTACTAGAAGACTGGCAGTACCAGTGGGAGACCTCAACAAAGGGGAGAGACACCTACAAGTTTTACCCCGATGTTACCAAAAGATATTGGGCGAAAGAGGCAAGCCCAGGACACATCGTGACACAGTTCTTGACTGGCCATGGTAACTTCAAAGACAAGCTGGCCTACTTTAAGTTATCAGAGGACAACCTGTGTCCCTGCGGGGAACCAGAGGACGTGTGGCATATGGTCTACCATTGCGACTACGATAGCAGCTCGAGAAGCAAATTTAGAAGAGACATAGGTATGGTAAATCTTCCGGCCCCGGAAGCTTTGGTTGATCCAAAACTATTCCATAGGTTCTCTAACTTTGTTATCGAGCTCTATTACCAGAGGATCGCAATGTACGCAAGATAGAGGAAGTAACAGCGAAGAAGCAGCAGAGAGACATAAGTGAGTACTAATTGTAGATCAATAAGTGCATGTATTTACTAGAAAGTAGGTATGGACAGGAGTCCCACGAAACTTTCTAGACCCAAGAAAAACCTACGCCGTAGGGCATGATTCGATTTCAAAAGTAGCAGAAATATGTAAAGAAGCGGAATCATTAAGCCCGTATTATAAAAAGCAAGAGGAATTTAAAGAAAGCAGGTAATCTAAATTAAAGACGCGAACCCCCCCGCAAGTGCGACCGGAGGTATGGGAGCAATCCCGAGGTACTCCGGGGGAGGTGGAGGGCGCAATTATACAGAGTTTAACCCCTCTGTCCCTACTTACTGATTTCTGTCCCTACCTACTGGACTCGTGACTGGACTGTTGGAGTGATAACAAGTGCTCCTATAGATTTTCAGTTTTTAAAGTGTTGTATTGCGTAAAGTGTCCTTGTTGTGTTTTGCTGGTGTAAAGATATTGAAGGTGAGGTGAATGTAGAGTTTAAAATATTTCGTAAGTTATAACTATGTAATAATAAAATTTTTTAAAATAGCGGAGGTTAGTTGGGTGAAAAATTTGTTAATAAGTGTGTGAAAGAGGGGTAAATAGTGTGTGTATGTGTGTGTATGATACTAGATAAACTTTATGTTGTGTGGTAATTAAGATTAAAGGAATTTTAGTAAATTTTAGGAAGTTAGTTAACCGCGTGGGTGACCACGTGGTTGACAGTTTTTGGGAAAGTTGTTGATTTCGGGGCTGTTTTTTGGAAATTTGTTTTGGTAATTAGTTAGATAGTAATAAGGGGTAAGTATTGTCAAAATTCTAGGTAAATTCGTGCAGTAGGGATTTTGAAATAAGGGAAAATAGGTCACCACGTGGTAACCACGTGGTTGACAGTTTTTGTAAAATTTGTTGATTTTGGGGCTGTTTTTTGGAATTCTGTTTTCTCAATTATTTAGATCTTAGTAAGGGGTAATTATTGTCAAAATTTTATTTAAAATGGTGCAGTAGGGATTTCGAAATAAGGGAAAATAGGTAACCATGTGGTAACCACGTGGCCTGTTTGATTCAAAATTTAGTTTGATTTAAAATTTAGTTTGTTATATTAAGTTATTGAGTGGAAAAGAGAAAATATTAGGTTAGGTGACGACCTAAAACTTTTAGTGGCTCAAACTCTAAGTGTCACAAATGTCACCATATCGATCGTCTTAAAGGTAAAACACGGCAGTCTTAGGCTTCATTAATTAAAATATGGAAGGTACAAAAAATGAAAAAGTCTATTCGGGACTCGGAACCGAAGAACCCCAGACGGAACCCTTGCAGGGGGGTGCGTTGGGTAAAGTTACCTGCCCTGATGTAAGCCAGGGACATCAGGAAAGTAAGGCTACTGGTGATATAGAAGAGTTGGAGGTGGAGATGGAGGATAGGGACGAAGTCCCTAAAGGTCAGAGACCAAAGAGAGGAAGAACAGAAGGAGAAATAGAGACAACACCAGTGAAGGGTGGAGAGGTATTTGAATGGGCAGGAAGTCAGAGTGAAGATAGAGGATGGTCAGTGGAAAGAATAATAAGGACTAAAAAGGTGAGAAGACACTCTTTTGTGTCATCTCCAGAAGAATTAAAGGGAATGGCGGAGGAGTCATTTGTAGTGAAAGAATATTGTGAGGAGATGGATCAGTTGATTAATGAGATAAGGAGTTATACCGACAGAACCCTCAGTACAAAGGATAGAAGGCATGTGAACTATATATTACCCAGGTTGGAAAGAATCATGGAAGCGAGAACCAAATGGGAAGAAGAGGCAAGGAGGATGAGGAGATGTGAATGGGTAGAAAGTAAAATTGCTAATATAGAACAGGAAATTACGAGTATGAACCCAAGAGAATGGAAGCAAGATATGAAAGATATGATAAATGAAATAGTGGAAGATCGAGTAAAAGAAATAGTAAAAGGAGTAAAGAAAGAATTGCAAGATTTTGGGAAGAAGGTACGACAGGATAATGAAGTAATGATGAGGAGTTTGGAGGAGTGTGATCAAAACAGAAAAGAGGAAGAAGAAAAAATAAAGAATTTGATAAGAATAGAGGTAAGAAAAGAAAAAGAAGCAACAGATGCGAACTTTAATGAAATGAAGATGATGTTTACTGATGTAAAATCTGCAATGGATGCATTACATGGGAATATGAGTATATTGAAAACTAAAGTTAAAGAGGTACCATGGGAAAAAATAGACAAAGTTGCAGAGACGGTGGAGCAGTTTGGAGAGAAAGAGATTGGTGAAAAATTGAGCAGAATAAATGAGACAATTAGTGAAATTAAAGAACGAGGTGTTAAACAGGAAGTAGAGAAAACGGATGCTCCGTGGTCTACTGTTGTTAGAAAAGGAAAATCGAAGGGTCCAGTAGTATCTATAGCCTTCCCAAGGGAAGGAGAGATGAAAACGAAGAGAGATCTATATAACTGTATGGGTGGAAAGAGAACAGAAATCAGAATTGAAAACATGAGGAAACAAGCAGGAGTGGTTATTATGGAAGTCCCAGAAAAGAGTGATGTAGAGAAATTGAAGAGTATGACAAAATTGAAGGAGGCTGGCTTCAAAATTAACGAGGATCCGAAAATGAGAAGTCCCAGAATTCTTATTAGAGGAGTTGAGAAGGATATTGAAAAAGGTGAATTATTTGAGATAGTGAATTCAAAGAATGAAGAGGTATTTGAGGGAATAGAGATGGATAAGAGAAAGGAGATGTTTGTCCCAGAAATAAGATGGGGAAGAAGAACACAATATACTCAATCATGGGTAGTCAGAGTTGACCAAAAAATTTTTAGTCGGGTTATGAAGAAAGGAAGGTTGTATGTGGGTATGTGGGCGTGTAGAGTCGAAGAATATTTAAAGCCAATGAGATGTTACAAGTGTCTGGGGTATGGGCATAAGGGAATAAAGTGCAAAAATGAGATCACCTGTGCTAAATGTGGGGGAGAAAAACACAAAAGTGAAAAATGCACTCTGGAAGGAGATCCAATTTGTGTGAATTGTAAGAGGAACGGGCTGAAGGATATAAATCATTCAGTATATTGGGAGTCATGCCCGATAGCGACAATAGAGAGGAAAAGGGCAAAAGACATGACGTCTTATGAATATCGAGAGTCTGAAGACAAGATGGAAGTAGATCAGGAACATGTACAAGAATCACGGGATACAATAGGGATAGAAGGAGTGGTAAGCATTGAGGAAAGCCCGAAGGAACAAAGGGTGACTAACAGGAGTGAGATGGGAAAAAAGGATCATCATGGCTGAAGAGAGAAGGGAAATAAGTAGAGAGCGGAATATTAAAGTTCGAATAGTCCAAAACAATTCAGATAGAGCAAAGAATGCTACAGTTGAGTTGAGAACAAAAGCGAGTGTAAACAATATAGATATACTAGCGGTGCAAGAACCATATGTAACCAGAATTACAAATACTATTGTGGGATATGGTATGAGTAGTAAAGTAATTACGGGAGAGAAGCAAGGGGAGTGCCCGTGGGCCGGAACGATTATAATAAATCCAAAGGTAAATGCCATGAAGATTAGTGACTTGTCCACTAGTCATTGTGTAGTGACAGAAATTTTACCTATAAATGGTGAAAGTTTTTATATGATAAATGTATATTGTCAATATAGAGATGATATTGATATACATTTAAGATCAATAGACAAGGCCATGATGAAATTAACGGGGAAACCCGTTATAATAACAATGGACGCAAATGCGAAAAGCCCCAGCTGGGGAGGGTCTAAGCAGGATGACAGGATACTATCAGCTACATGGGATCTGATAGTAATAAATGAAGAAGAACAAGGTCCAACATATATGAAAGGGAAGTCAAGTTCATATATAGATGTCACATTATGTACAAGAGAGATTGCGGAGAGAATCAAAGGGTGGCACGTAGCGTGGGATTGGACGTCTAGTAGTCATGCAGCCATTATAATTGAGGTAGGCTCAAGGAGAATTGCGGGAGCGAGAAAGGAAGAGGTAAGGTGGGCTATAAGAAATGCAAACTGGGACGAGTTCAGGGAAGAACTTAGTAAAGAGAAGGAGAGAATGGACAAATTTAAACTAAATACGAAGGAGACGGTGGTTGAGTATGCGGCAAGCATAGAAAACTGGATAATAGGAGCTGCAAAGAAGAAACTAAAAGTGATAAAGCCAAGATCACGGAAGGTGTTATGGTGGAATAAGGATTTGCAGAAAATGAGAAGGGAAGTACTTAGGTTACGGAAGGGATATAGGAGAAATAAGGTGGAAGGACTAAATGAAGAACTTGAGAGGAAATGGAGAATGAGTAGAAGAGAATATAGAAATAAGATTGAGGAAGCCAGGCAAATGAGCTGGGAAAAGTTTGTTAAAGATGAATTTCAAAAAGGTCCATGGAATGTTGTATATAACATTATAACATAAAACATGGAACATTAACTTCACTTGACATTAACTGTAAGTTATTTTTTATTATTAAAAATAGTCCAGTGCACGATTTGTAATAACGTTATTGCCCGTGAAGATAAATACAATTTATGTTGTACCAAGTGCAAAGTTATTTATCACGGCAAGTGTTTTAATCTCACAGACAAAGAGATAGAAGCTCAGAGAAGCACAAAAAAAACATGGATGTGCCTAAATTGCGATCAAACTAAGAAACTAAATTTAAACAATGAACCGCCTGTATCAGAAATATTAGCAGCAGTTAATAGACTGGATAGTCATGTTAGTGAGGAAATAAGGGATATGAAGACAGCCCTCGATAAATATGGAGACCTCAGCTTTGAACTGAATGAGAGGTTATCTAAATTAGAAAAACATCTCGAGCCAAGCCAAACATTTTGAGGAGATCATTCTGGAAAATAAAGCCCTCAAAGCTCGAGTGGGCGATTTAGAGATCCGCCTGAACAAAACAGAACAGGGTCAATTATCTAGATCGCTGGAGATCCGTGGGATCCCAGTGCGAGCAGGCGAGACGCCCGCGGCTCTGGTGACCAGTATAGCCGCGGGGCTGGGCATCAAGCTCGGAGTGGAGGATTTGGATGTCGTGCAGCGCCGCAGAAGCAAGAAGGATGACCCGCGACCGCCGCCGGTAATAGCACATTTCGTCAGGCAGTCAGTGAGGGACGACCTGATAGCGAAAAGGAAAGTGAAGAGGGATTACTCGACGCGTGATATCGGGTGGCAGGAAAACGACTGCCACCGAATTTATCTCGGCGAGGAGATGACCCCAACAAACAGGCACCTCTACTGGCTAGCCCGGCAGAAGAGAGCTGCCGGGAAGATAAGATACGTATGGTTCTCTGCCGGCATTGTGCGTTGCCGAAAAGAAGACGGCCATCAAGTAATCTTGATTAATCAGGCATCGGATCTGGAAGTTTTCGCCTGACTGCACAGGTTTCATCTCTTCTTCTCGTTCTTCAAAGTATTTTTTTTCTTCATTGGTGCCCAAATAACATTGAAGATTTTGGTTAAAATTTCTCACAGCTCCAGTTTACTAATTTGTTTATTTTCTTACTCTTATTCCTCTCTTATTTTTTCATTATTCACTTTTATTTTGCTTATCAGTACTTTTCATAATTTTTTTTCAGAATATGATATATGCCTCATTTCCTCTATGCTAATTTCTGACTGTTTCCCATCAAATCCTCCCCATGTCTAGCATCCTAACCACCTGCCACGTTAACTCGCAATCCCTTCCCGCCCATTATGATGAATTCCTGCAGTACTTTTCTCAAAACTTTTTTCACATCATCGCAATCTCAGAAACCTGGCTCAAACCCTATATTCCGTCCTCATCTGTCTCCTTACCTAATTACACCCTCATCCGCCACGACCGGGTCAGCCGGACTGGTGGTGGGGTGGCCATATTTGTCCATGATAGCCTGAAGTCCCGAATCCTTGATTACTCCCCACCCTCCGAACATCCACAAGTGGAGTACCTTCTAGTAGAAATTACCTGTAATAATTCACCTCTCCTTTACATAGTGATCTACCGTCCTCCCCTTGTTCCATTTGATCCGTCCTTAGAATCAACCTACTCAACTTTGTTCCCCTCTATCCTAGAATAATCATCGCCGGTGACCTCAATACCAATTTCCTTTCTAATTCCAAAGACAAAACCTATCTAGAAAACCTATTTTTTTCCCTCCATCTCTTTATTGTTCCTTTTTATCCTACTCACCACACCCACAAGGCCGACACTTGGTTAGATTTCTTCATTATAGACTCCGAAATAAATCTCCTCTCCTCTTCTCAACTGCCAGTATCCTTCTTATCGTCTCACGACATGATCCAAATAACATATAATATCCAAACCCCTCTGATTCATCCGAGAACCTTCACTTTCCGTCAGATAGACACTCTCACCCGTGAAAAAATACTACCTGACCTTGAAACCTTAGACTTGAACGAAATATATTCCTGCTCCTCCATCGACTCCATGGTTGAGATCCTGACTTCCAATCTCCTCAATATCCTTAACACCCATGCTCCCATAAAAACCTCAACCTTTCGCCGTCGGCCTGCACCTTGGATGTGTCAAGAAATCAAGGATCTGCAGAAGAGGCGTGATGCTGCCCGCAGACGCTTTAGACGTACTAGGCTTACAGATGACTATCAAGCGTTTAGGGTGCTCCGCAATTTGACACAAACAAGAATTCGGCGAGCTAAAGCTTCCTACTTCCATGAAGCCCTGTCATCTGCCCCAGATCCCAAATCTAAATGGCTAATCCTTCGCAAACTTTCCCTCTGTGAACCTTCTAGATCCCCTTCCTCACTGTTCTTTTCCGTTTCACCTGACGATTTAAATTCACATTTTATTTCTGCCTCCTCTACCTCTTCTCTTCCCTCCTCTTCCAACTATGCTCCTGAGTCATCATTTAATGATGATGACTTTTATTTCTCCTACATTTCCCCGACTGACTTACTAACCGCAGTAATGAAATCCCACACCAATTCCATAGGACCAGATGGCATTCCTGTCAAATTGATAAAATTATGTCTCCCCGAAATCCTCCCAGTTCTCCTTTTCATTTACAATTTCTCCCTACAGAACTCAATATTC